GGGGGTCCAGGAGTGCGGGTCCTTGATGGCCGAATGTGCATTTTTGGTTTCTTTGTTGATGTTTTCCGTGAGCCAAGAGTGCCAATCTTGCTTCGCGATTTTGGCGTGAAAGGTAATGCATGCTCCTACAGTCTCCTTCTGGCTGGAATAGATATCCTCCATCTCCTGCAAATACTCCGGAACAATCTTCTCCTCTGATCAGCCTCTGAGAACCTCCTGTATAGCGTCGAGGTGGGGTCGAAGATCTCCCAGCTTGGTTTTAATCTAGTTTGCAGCCTCCCGAAGCGCGTGGACCAAGGATATGGCCAGCTCCACGTCCGCCCCCGAGATGCCGGAATCCGCGGCAAACTTCCGAGACAAGAAAAGCACCGCTTTGAACCGTGACGAGACCCACCTCATGGCGTGCCGCTGGGGGTATCGCATTTCCCTGAAGTCCTTGCGTAAAAGAGATGACCTGATGACGTCAGGATCCTTACCCCGAGCTCCTTTGAAGGGCAGGGCGATGTGGGTGAGGGAGAGGGAAGTAAAGTTGGCCTCCAGCTCCTCCTCCGTCCTGTTGGCCCACTGCTTGTAGGCACTGTGGAAAAAACGGTCGGAAGCCGACGAATTCCCAGCAGCCAGAAACTTGTCACAGCGTCCTAACAAGAATTCACACCGTCCAAAATCCTGAGGACGGGGATGAGGACCAGGGAGGGCTGTGACCGGAAATTTCGGGGGATTTCTGAACCCGAGCGCCTGGAGACGGCATAGAGCAGGATCAAACTGCAAAGATATCGCCATGTGCGGACTTAAATATCCGTTGGGGCACTCTGAAATCTTCTTGACACCTTGGGCTAGTCCTCCCGAGAGCACGAAATAGTCCCTGATGCTAGAGGTGGCCCCGAAACACGTTGGAGTTCCAGTGGGAATCAGTTCCCCCCGTAAGTTCTCCACCAAACCTGAATCCACGACCTGATGTGGATCCAAATTGAAGTTCGCCGCCTACAATACAAGGACCGCCTTACGCCCCGATCTCCTTCAAGAGGTCGATCTGGCGAGCCGTCATGCCCTCGGCATCGTACCCGTACACAGAGATAGCCAAGATAGCCAAGGTCGTCGGCCCACCTGGCAGATGAAACATAGCCGCTATAGCACGGCCAGATACCACGCGTGTTCCTTGGCTCGGGGCGTGAAGTCCCAGGAAATCTCTGACCAAGACTGCCCCCCCCCCCGAGGTGCCCCCCTCGGGCGTACGAAATGCAGGCTCCCAGATAGATTTCCACGCCGCTTCCCGGCAGTGTTTGGCCGCCTTGTTGATCGCGCCAGCCTGCTGCAGGTGGTGCTCCTGTAATAAGATGATATGAGAGTGGTCGCTCTTCATTATCCAGTCCCTGAACGACCCCCAGCTGTTACAGTTAATCGTAGATACCACCAGCGATAGAGAGTCCAACTGCGGAGAGCTGAGACCTACTGGCACTGGCAGATCGGCCAAAAACTTCAACCAAACAGCAGGGCCGGGGGAATTACAGCCATGACGGACCGAGGAGGAAGTGCGAGGCGCCATTATCTTATCGGCACCTTGCTGCAAAAAGTTACCTCCGGCCTAGTCCTCTCCCACCGTATCGCCAGCTCTCGAAGCGCTGACTGCAGAAAGATCGGCAGAGGCTGCGCTTGCGCCGTGATCGGCCGTTGCCCTCTGCGGCCGAGGCTCCACCCCCGCCTGCAGGGGCGAGAAACTGGGGCCAAACGGGAACCCGGCAGAGGCGGCGGAACCACCATCGCAGATTAGGGTCCCGTGTTGGCCGCCGGCTGCCCCATCGCGATTGGCAAAAAGGGGTCCTCCCTGCTCCTGGCCAGCGAAAGAGTCCCCCCCCACCATCACACCAGCTCTCGAGGCGTTGACTGCTGCAGGATCAACAGTGGGTGCGCATGCACCGTCGGCGGCCGCTGCCCTCTCCGGCCAGGGCTCCACCTCCGCCTGCTGGGGTGAAACGCTGGAGCCACACGGGAGCCCAACAGAAACGTCGGAGCCACCGTCGCAAATGAAATAAAGGGTCGCCTGTTGGCCAGCGGCGGTCCCAGCGCGATAAACAAAATGGGGTCCCCCCAGATCCTGGGCAGCGAAAGTTGGCGCTAGCCGCCCGCCGGGAACGACCGACGCACAATGGGGAAGAGAGGGCGAGGAAGAGGACGGGAGGGCGAAGCGGCCAACAGCTTCATGAGAGGCCTGCCCGCTGACGACGGTGAAGCCCCCTACCAGGCTGGCGGTACGCCGGCCTGGCAGGGGGCCATCAAACTGGCGAAAAACCTCTGCCCGCCAAATCGCGAGCCCGCTGGCGAACGAAGCCTTCAGAAGCTCCTGCTGGCAGAAGGCCGAGGCGGTCCAGGTGCCCGCGGAGGTCTGGCCCGGACTCTTTGTCGGGCTCCCAGTGGCCGGGACCCTTGCTGGGATCCTGAAGGCGTGGAGGGCCGCCAGCAGCGCCAGGAGCCGTTGAGGGGACACCCTCGAAAGCGACCACCTGCGTGTTGGTGATGAGGTTTGGGAGGTCCGACGCCAACTGCTTCGCCGCCGCCTCCGCTTGCTCTGGCGAAAGGCCAAAGTTCCCCATCGATGACTGCAGCTTGGTAACGTCCAGCTGGAGAGCATGGACAGGCTGCCCTCCAGCATGACCACCATTCTGTGCCACCAGCTCAGCATGTTGCTTACTGAGTTCTTGGATGCGCTCCTCCTGGATGGTGAGGCCCCGGGTGGCCTCCTCGATCTTGCGCTGGAGCTCCCCCAACTGCAGCTTCTGCTTCTCGAGGGACTCTCGGCCTCGCTGAAGCTTGGCCTCTGCCTGTTGTATTTGATTTGTGACATAATGAATGCGAGTATGGACAGGCTTGTTAGAGATGGCCTGCTGCCTGAGCTTGGCGCGTTCAGACTCGAGCTCGTTGCGCAGGGAGTCCCACGCTGGGCCTGTGAACTGGCTGACCGCCTGCATTTCTTTCTCGATCTCTCGCAGCCGCTTGCTGCAGTTCTCTGCTTCGTCACAGTCGGCCGTGAGATCGATGTCCATATCGCCTGGCTGCTGTCAGCGGCGGACTTGCTGCGCATCTGCTGCTCGAGACGCTTGACTTTGTCCCGTAACTGATCCACCTCATTGGTACCTTTTCGGCCTTTTCCATTCCAAGGATGCTGGCCAATGCCCTCGCGGGCCTGACTCTGCGAGACTGAGGGCTGCAGAGGCGGGACGTTGCCCCCGAAGCAGGATCCCTTGTGAGACTTGCAAAGGCTGCAGAAGAGTCGACTGCCCGCGTTGACCCAAGCGTTGCCTGACTTCTCGTGCTTGCAACCCTTGCAGAACCAACGCGGCTTGATGGTGGACCATGCAGAATCAGGGGAAGGAGCCATCTCGCCGCACAGCCTACCTTCTGCTGAAAGATCGTCGTACTTCCCTGGCTCGTGAGCACGAGCCGCTCTGAAGACGTGCTCACAAGCTCAGGCCTCCAAATGCCTGAGCCAGAACGGCTAGGAGGAGGAGGAGGAGGAGGAGGAGGAGGAGGAGGAGGAGGAGGAGGAGGAGGAGGAGGAGGAGGAGGGGGAGGCGGAGCGGAGGCGGAGGCGGAGGCGGAAGGCGGAGGCGGAGGCGGAGGAGGAGGAGGAGGCGGAGGAGGAGGAGGAGGAGGGAGGGAGGAGGCGGAGGCGGAGGCGGAGGCGGAGGCGGAGGCGGAGGCGGAGGCGGAGGCGAAGGCGGAGGCGGAGGCGGAGGCGGAGGCGGAGGCGGAGGTGGAGGCGGAGGCGGAGGCGGAGGCGCAGGCGGAGGAGGAGGAGGAGGAGGAGGAGGAGGAGGAATAACTATAATAATAAGAATAAGAAGAATCATAACACTAAGAATACTAAGAATACTAATAATAATACTACTGATAATAATACTAAACATATAACAATACTCGCATTAATAATAATAGCAATAATAATACTAATAATACTAATGATAATAACAATAATAGTGATAACACCAATAATAATACTAGTAATAATAATACTACTACTACTAATACTAATAATATTACTGGCGCTAATAATAATACTCATACTACCAATAATACTAGTAAGACAAAGAAGAATACTCATAAGGATAACACTAATACGACTAAACCTACTAATACTAATAATACGAATAATACTAGTAATCAGAAGCAGAAGCAGAAGAGGAGGAGGAGGAGGAGGAGGAGGAGGAGGAGGAGGAGGAGGAGGGGGAGGGAGGAGGAAGGAGGAGGAGGGAGGAGGAGGAGGAGGAGGAGGAGGAGGAGGAGGAGGGGGAGGCGGAGGAGGAGGAGGAGGAGGGAGGAGGACGGGAGGGGGGGGGAGGAAGAGGAGAGAGGGGGAGGGGGAGGAGGAGGAGGAGGAGGAGGAAGGAGAGGAGGAGGAGGAGGAGGAGGAGGAGGAGGAGTAGGGATTAGGAGGGAGGAGGAGAGGAGGCGGAGGAGCGGAGGCGGAGGCGGAGGCGGAGGCAGAGGCAGAGGCGGAGGGCGGCGGCGGCGGAGGAGGAGAGGAGGAGGAGGAGGTAGGGCGGAGGCGGAGAGCGGAGGCGGAGGGAAGGGGAGGAGAGGAGGGAGGAGGAGGAGGAGGAGGAGGAGGAGGAGGAGGAGGGGAGGGGGGGGGGAGGGGGGGGAGAGGAGGAGGGGAGTGAGGAGGAGGAGGAGGAGGAGGAGGAGGAGGAAGGAGGAGGAGGGGAGGATTTTGCAGAGGAGGCGGAGGAGGAGGAGGAGGAGGAGGAGGAGGAGGATGAGGAGGAGAGAGAGGAGGAGGAGGAGGAGGAGGAGGAGGCGAGGAGGAAGGAGGAGGAGGGAAGAGGGATGAGGAGGAGGAGGAGGATGAGGAGGAGGAGGAGGAGGAGAAGGAGGAGGAGGAGGACGGGAGGACGGATGAGGAGGAGGAGGAGGAGGAGGTCGAAGGATGAGGGCGAAGGAGGAGGAAGACGCCGTCAGCCGCCGCACGATGCCGCACGACGAGGGTGGTGGTCCCTGCCTGCGAGGGCGGCGACCCTGGTGCGGCCGATGAAGACAGTAAGAACGGCATCTCCGAGTCCAGCGAGGACGACCAGGACTCTCCCCCAGCCTTTCGAGGCTGTTTCTCTGCGGCTCTATGCGGTCGGGAACTTTGGCTCAGCGTGTCGCTCCGCTGGCCCAGGCCCACCACGCTTCGGCGAGACACGCTGTACACGTCCCCATTTCCAAGCGCCAATGTCCCGAGCCTTTCCGAGCCTCCTGCCCCGCGGAGCGGAGCGACACGCTATCCACTTGCAGTGCGTAGCGTGCCGCTGGGGCCGCCGCCGCGACACGCTACCCAGAAGCTTTTGACCGTAGTGTTTTTTGGCCTTCCGGGAGATTTCTCGTCGCCGCGGCTGAATCCGCTTCGAACTCCTGGTCAGGTCGCATCCCGGGAGAGATCCGGGGTGAAGCTGTGGCCCCCGAGTCCAGCTCCCCTCGCGCCGTGCAGAGATCGCGATGGGCTTCTAGCAGTTTTCGGCTTCTGGGGGCCCTTGCTGGGAATAGTGGCCACCGCACAGCGACTCAGGACGAAAAAGCGGGCCTGGGAAGCTGCCAAGAGTTTGAGGGTCCACGCTGACTAGCAATGGCGGCTTCGGGGGTGTTGGGATCACAAGCCACCGCCACACATGGCTGGGCCCACCCTACCGCAAAGCCAGCTAGCACAACGTGGCTGGCCTGGGCGAGAGTTGGATACAGTCGGACCGAGGTACAATATCGAGGTCGGCTCGGGGAGGGTGCCCTCGTGTTCTCCGTGCTCGTTGGATGGTCTTGCGCATCCTGGGGAGGGTACCTTTGGATGTTCTGTGTGTTTTTGCCGGCGGAGGTTCGACTGTACACGTTATCTGGCCCAGGCTCGACTGTACACGTTGCCGGGCCCCCGTGTCGTTGCATCGTTGGGGCCTCGCGGGTCGGGGCCCGTTGGCTCTCTCCGCACGCTCTGCTGTGCGAGTCCAGCCTCCCGTGCTGTCGGCCTCTGTGCACGGAGCGCCCCCCGGCCTGAGAGGCCGCGAGGGCCCCCCTGGTTCACCGGGCCCAGGGCCCCAGGATCAGCCCAGCCCAGGGCTGGACCTACACGCTGTTTTGCTGGACTTCTGGCAGGGAGGTACAGGAAAGCAGGTCGAGCAAAACGAACAACAACACGAATCAACACGACAAACAACTTTTAGGTCCAGCCCTGGCCTAGCCTGGTTCCGTGGTCTGCTGCAGTTGCGTGTCTCCTGTCGTTATCTTGCTCTTCTGCTACTGCTGCTGCTGCTGCTGTTGCCGCTCCTCCTGCTCTCCCCCCACCCCCAACTTCCCCTTCCTCTTGCTCCTCCGACTCCCTTCGAGCTGGAGGAGGGGGACTTTTGCTTCGAAAGGTCACAAGCCTCCCTCTTCTTCTCCCTCCTCCCACAGCAGGAGATGGTGGACCTGGACCTCGAGCAGACCTCCTCGGGCGTCCTGAAGGCCAAGTCCAAGCTCTGGGCCAGCCCCCGGTCTCTGAAGTCCTTCGTCGGGCTCATGCGCCGCAACAGCCGCGTCGACCTGGACGCCACCCCCCAGGACTCGAGCCCCCTTCTCCCGCCGCCGCTGCCGCCGCCGCTGCCGCCGCCGATGCTGCCGCTCTCGACGCCACTGCTGCCGCTCCCGCTCCCGCTGCCGCTCCCGCTGCCGCCGCCGTCGCCGCTGCCGCTCCTGCCCGCCCCTCCCCTCGCTCGTGCTCCCCGCGGGCGCCTCCCGCCGCCCGCCCCTTCCCGCCCCGAGCCCCGCCCTCGTCTGCAGAGGTGGCCCCCGCCTCCTGGCCTCCTGGCCGCCCCCCCCTCCCGACCGCGCTCCTTCTCCCAGAGCAGCCCGGCGACGTGCTCTTCTTGTGGCATGACGGCGGGGGCGTTGACTCAGGAGTGTGCCCATGGGTTGTGTGCGTCAGGGTGGCAGAGATCGCCTCTCTCTCTTCAGGACCCCCCTCAGCGGAGATTGCACTCTGGTGACTGCGCGTGCCTAGTGTCGGTGCCGAGTGTCGGCGCTGAGAGTCGTTGCCGGGTGTCGATGCCGAGTGTCGGTGCCGAGTGTCGGTGCCGATCGTCGTTGACGCGGGGGGTCTCTGAGGAGCTGCCCCCCCCCAGACACACAACCCATGGGGGCTCGAGACCCCGCATGGGGTCCTTAGTTGATGAGGGCGGCGGTGACATCCATGGCCACGCCTCAATGGAGTGACGGAAGCAAGAAGTTTCGATTGCGCGGACCTGCGCACGTACGTTGCCCGCGCAAGGTCGCGCGTGAGCGCCCTCGTTTCCAGTGTACTGTTCCGCGCTGGCGGCCCGCGTAAGCTGCGGCGTAAGGTTGCTATGCCATCTTGCGTAAGACTCGTTTCTTTGCGTCGCTCCATCGGAATTCCACCAGCTTTCAAACCAGGCGAGGTGAGCTCACGGAGATAAAGCTTCGAGGCAGCCGTCTTGCCGACGGGAGGGCCGAGGAGGGGACGGCCTTCCAGGCGCCCCCACGGGGCGGACGCGCCGATCGTGGAGGGGGGCCTCGCCAGAGCCCGTGATGCAGCCAGGCATGCCGCGGAGATCGTGGTCTGCTGCTGGCCTCTGGCAGCCTTGGAGGACGTCAACCTGGAGCCGTACCAGGGTCGACTGGTGAGGGCGCGGCGGTGGCAGGGGACCATGTCTCGGCAGCTCGGGAGCCTGCTGGTCCTCTGGCGGCCGCGGGCTTGGCGATGGTGGCTGCCGCGGCGGGGGCCGAGGCGGCCTCGCCCAGCTCGGCAACCCCAGCGCGACGGGCCACTCGCAAGCGCCCCGCAGCCTCTTAGCCGAGAGCCGAGTCAGCGACGGAGGGCGTTTTCGGTCGGGGTCAGAACCGCAGTGCGGAGGCTGCCATCGAGTCTGGAGACGTATGGGGCTGCAGCTGCCCTCGAGAGGGAGGTCCGCCCGCGTGCGGCTGCTGCCGCGGGCGGCGCGTGCGAGGTGGTGGAGCCATCTCAGCCTGTCGGTGCCAGCAGCCATGCCGTGCGTGCTCCTTGAGTGGTCAAGGGCCAGAATCTCATGCAGGCCCAGGTGACTGGCCAGCAGCCTGCTTTTCTTCTCTGCGCGCCCTGCTGCATGTATTGTCGCCAGCCTAGGTGCCTTCACCGCGGGCCGGCCATGGCTTGTGCAGGTGCGGATGGCCGTGTTACGCAAGGGTCTCGAGCGTGGGCGCGGCCAGACTTCTCGAGGCATGTTAGGAGGAGTTGTCCGTCAGCGTATTCGTGTCTCCCACAGTGGCCACCCGGGCGATGTGGGCGCAAGCGTTCGGCATAAGGGATGGTCTTGCAGGTAGTTCCAGCGTTCGAGCTCCGAGCGTGTCGAGTCCCGCCGCCGCCGCGGCAGGCCGCCCACCAGCAGCTCATCACGCCAGCACTCGAAGGAGCGCTGGCCTCACATGGTTTTGTTTTAGCCGAGGGGGCCCGTGACCGTGGCCGCCGCACTGTGTCGGATCGGGCGGCGAGGGCTGCCCTGCGACGGGAGGTGGGCCCCTAGCCAACGGGGCTGTGTGGCGGGCGACGTTTCTCGCCTTCCCGGGGGTCCCTCCTGGCCGTCGTGCGCGGTACGACCGACACAGTTGACGGCCCTGTTAGAGTTCACGCCAGCAAGTCTTCGGAGAGAACAAAATGCCCCCGCCGCGACGTGGGACCCCAGGGGACTGGCTTCTCATCCCGAGTCGCGTTGTTGACAGTCCCGCGAGGCCTGGTGCCAGAAACAGCTACAAGCTTTCCCTCTTGGGGGCGCGCGAGAGGGGGAAATGGGGGTGGGGGGGCAGCGAGGGCAGCCGAAAAGGGGCCCTCTAGGGTCTGGAAAAAGGGGCCCTTTAGGGCCCCCAAAGGGCTTTTTCGATGTCCAAGGGGAGTCTTAAGGGGCCGAGAAGAGCCCTTTTCTTCCCCCATGCCAAGGACGTTGTGAAGGGCCTTGCAGCACACTCCGTGGTGCAAGCGGCCTCTGGCGTGCATGCTCACAGTCTTTGTTCTGCGATCGAGTAGGCCGCCTCTCTCTTCGACACCGACTCGCTTACGCAGCTGAGGGACATCAGCAGGCCGTGCCAAACATCGTCTTCCTGGCGCTCTTTACGGTGTTGCCTTACCGCACCCGCACACATCGGACAAACGCGAGCTTCAGCTGGACTTGCTCCTTTTTCGGCATGCGCACCGACCTGATAGGGGGTCTTGCGCACGCTCTGGCGTACGGCGTGCTCGCGATGTCGCATGCGCTGCAGGTCAACCTTCAATTCGTGCACATGCCGGCCATCATGGCGCTGGGAGTTTGTGGCGGAGGTGATGTTGATAATCTTTCTAACTTCGTCTCCGAACTGCACGAGCCCGTCTACACCGACTTCGACTCTGAGTTGGGCGCCCTTCTATCTTGTGGAGCTTGCGTTGGTTCCTCGATTGAACGTTCTTCCACGAGACCGCCAACCGCGCCCTCCTCGGGTACTACGAGAGCGAGAACGACCGCGTCATCGTCGGCTTCGTGTTTGGGGGATTTGACCGCGCCTGCTGGGGGTACCACCTGTGCGAGAACGACCTCGTCCACTGCGGCTTCGTGTCGGGGGAATTCGACCACGACTTCTGCAACGGCCCTGATAACGGGTATCGCAAGTGGCAGCCTCCCTGCGAGACCGCCAAGTAGCACCAGTGGTCCAGGTACCTTCTCTTGTTCGGCTTCTGCGGCGGATTTGGGTACCAGTCAGAGGAATTCGACCGCGCGCTCTTCGGGTACCAAGCGGGCGAGATCGACTATGATTTCTTAAGCCCGTGTCTGAGGAATCGACCGCGGTTTCCTCGGACTTCACCTGTGCAAGTACGAACGCGTCGTCATCGGCTTCGGATTTGCGGGATTTGCCAGCGCCGTCAAGTCTAGGGACTTCGACAGCGACTTCTGGAAGCGCCACTGGTGCAAGGACGACCGCGTCGGCTTCCGCCTCGTGTATGGGGAATTCGACTGCGCCAAGTGGCCCTGTTCCGCTGCCGCTGCTGGTGGCGTCCCTGTGCAACCTGTCGGTGCTGAGCGTTCCCTCCGGATTGTCCAGGTGCTGTCGCAGGTGGCGCTTCTGTGCTAGCAACTTGTGTGACGATTCGCATCCTCATGTCCCCAGAAGTGTGCCGAGCAGAGCCGACCATTTGTCATTCGGCGTCTTCGTCTTGACTTCCAGCGTTCGTTCTTCCTCGGCCGCTTCTTTGTCGCTTCGGCCGACGTTGGCGAGCGCAAGACGCGGCTCGCCCACGTATTGTTCGTGAGCTCCTTCTTCACAGCCTTGGGTTGTCTGGTGGAGGACCGCAATCAAGCACGACATTCCCAACAGGTCGCCCGAGACCCACCTCCAGAGCAAACTCATGTTGGTGCGGGGGCTTCTCTTGCTGCCGATCCTGTCGGTGGCATCCGTCCTCTGGTGCCGCCGAGTGTGGCAATATCAGTCATCTGCATGTTCCTGCTGTCAGCGTCGGCCGTCCGCTGTTCAACCCGTCCCCGCTTTCCCGAAGCTCGCTGCTGACGCCAATAATTCATACTCCCCGCTCGGGTGGAGTGCTTGCTTCCAATGGTGAGCCTTCCCCTTCTGCCGATTTGCTCGGCCACGACAACACCTTCGACCTTCACAAGGTCACTTGCACGCGCCCCGACGCCGTCGGCCTCAACATGAACAGTGATTTTGGTAAGCTGGCCAGTCGGCCCCCACGTGGCGCGGCATCGCGGTGCGACTGAGAGACGCCCCCCCCGTCGGTGTCAGTGCTGCTGCTGCTGCTCCTCCTCCACCTCCTCCTCCTCCTCCTCCTCCTACTCCTCCTCCTCCTCCCCGTCGTCCCTCCTCCTCCTCCTCCTCCTCCTCTCTCCTCCTCCTCCTGCCTCCTCCTCCTCCTCTCCCTCCTCCTTCTCAGGTACGTCTCCCCATCCTCCTCCTCCTCCTCCTCCTCCTCCTCCTCCTCCTCCTCCTCCTCCTCCTCCTCCTCCTAGCTGCTGTTGGTCGTGCTGCTCGCCGCCTGGGTTGGACAGCAGACCTCATCCCAGCGGTGGCCACGGCGAAGGGCGGCACCTCGGCAGGCGTGGGCATCCTGGTCCGTCCTTGGGTGCATCTTCAGCGGGTCGAGTTCGCCGATGACCGCATCGCGGTCCGCTGCTCCGCTGGATGACGTCTGTGGGTGGCCGCGAGGGTACGCTGATGGTGTCTGCGCACCCCCACACCAGCCAGGACCTCAGCGACCTCAACCTGGACCTGCTGACCAACTTGGGTTCGGTGGCCCTTCGTCGTGGGAGCGGACTGGAACATGACGCCCGCTGTGCTGGAGGAGGCGCAGCTGCTGCCGTCCATTGGGGCGCGACTGGCATGCTCCAGCCACGCCGCCTGCGTCACGGCCACCTCCGCGCGGGAGATCGACTTTTTCTACGTCGACCAGCTGGCTGAGGTCCAGGCCGTGCGTCGGTGCGACCGGTTAGCGGTCCGCACCCACAGGGCGGTGGCGCTCAGACTGGCCATCCCCCCCCTGGTGCCACGGTCTTCCGCCTGCACCGCCCGAATGCCTTCCC